GCACTTGGGACTGTGATGCTGGTGGGTGCATGTATGGCTTCACCGCCGGTTCAGGAAGCTCCAACAGTGAGACATCCTCTTCCTCTCCTGCAGGGGATGAAGCGTATGGTGTGAGGCTGTTTTACAAGGGGTGATGCAGAGCCTCAGGCAGGCGAGGTGGGGTGCACAGGTTGTGCAAGGCACCATACTCTGGGATGTGTGCCCCATGCCACCCCCAGGACTGCGGCTGACGTGGGATGCTGTGGGGTTACCCATTAACTGCAGGAATTTCTGGGGAGGAGGTGAGCAGTGAGCAGAGGCGAGGGGCAATGCTGGGCTCCTTAGACTTTGCTCTTGACGTGCATATAAAGGGCCCTGGTGCCCCGTGGGCCACTTTGCCGGAGGAACGCGTGGATTTGGCATGAGGACATGGCGCTGCTCTGAGTGCTTGGCCAGCACCAGGTGAGCAGCAACCCGGGGCAGGACAGGCTCCCGGGTGGCCAAGGGGACCAGTGGGACAGCACTCCTCAGCGGTGCCACCACTGCGTGGTTTTGGGGCGGCAGTGGTTGGAGCAGTGCAGATGCGGCCCCAGCACAGTGACGTGTGGCTGCCTCTGCTCAGACTCAGCCGGAGCGATGCTGCCATACCGGAGGGAGAGCCCGACCATGCCCCGCTGCCCGGTGCGGGGAGGAAGGGTGGTGCATGGGACCCCGTTTGCCTACTGCCCCAGCCCCCCAGGTAGGTCTCCCATCCTCACCACCCTTCTCTCCATGCAGAGCTCAGCTCTGCTTTCCCAAACCAGGCGGGCTCCACGCCCAGCACCTTGAGAGGACAGGGCCATAATGCTTGTTGGATATGACTGTATCCAGCTCTGCACAGGCTGCCGGGTGCCCACGCCTGCCCCTTCACCGTGGGAGCGGTGACCTGCCCTGACCATGGCTTCCTGTGCCCTGGCTCCCCGGGGCGGCTGGTGGAAAGTCGGGAGCGCTATGAGCTGGATGCACTGCCCTGGCAGGGGCCTCGCCTGGGCTTGGAGGAGCTGCAGAAGCCAGGTGAGGTTTTCAAGCACTGCACCCAGCAAGGAGGGCAGCAGGTGTGGAAGATGCTCAGTGCCCATGGTGCTGCAGGCAGAGCAGGAGGTGGAGGGGACCCACGAACATGGCCAGGCATGTGAACATGTGCCTGGCGTGTAACACTCTCTCTTGTCTTGCGCAGAGCTGGGCTGCTGGGTGAGGGTCCAGTCCATCTGTGTCTCCCTTCTCAAGGTGCCTCTGATGTTTGGCTTCCTGTACCTCTTCGTCTGCTCCCTGGACGTGCTCAGCTCTGCTTTCCAGCTGGCCGGAGGTACGGCTGTGGGCAGAGGGCAGCCAGCAGCACCCTGGCTCCAGTGCCCTGCCCTCACGCTCTCTTGCAGGCAAAGTGGCAGGGGACATCTTCAAGGACAACGCCATCCTCTCCAACCCTGTAGCCGGGCTGGTTGTGGGCATCCTGGTGACCGTGCTGGTGCAGAGCTCCTCCACCTCCACCTCCATCATTGTCAGCATGGTCTCCTCGGGGTGTGAGTGCACCCGTGGGGCTCCCTGGGGCTGGGGGCAGGATGGATGAGGAGGACGTGGGGCTAGCAGGTCTCTCTGCCGACAGTGCTGGAGGTGCGCTCTGCCATACCCATCATAATGGGCTCCAACATTGGCACTTCAGTCACCAACACCATCGTGGCCCTCATGCAGGCTGGTGACCGCAGTGAGTTCAAAAGGTGAGCATGAATGGGGGCAAAGGGACTTGGAGGGGCCGAGGGCCATCCCACATTGACACGTAGACTCCACCATGCAGGGCTTTTGCTGGTGCTACGGTGCACGACTGTTTCAACTGGCTGTCGGTGTTGGTCCTGCTGCCACTGGAGGTGGTGAGTGGGTACCTGCACCACGTCACCCGCCTGGTGGTAGCCACCTTCAACATCCGCAGTGGGAAGGATGCCCCTGACCTGCTGAAAATCATCACGGAGCCCTTCACCAAGCTCATCATCCAGGTCTCCTTGGGTTGGCTGTGTTGTCCCCAGGGGTTTTCCTCCAGCATTGGGGTTCCCATGCTAGCAGTAATGCCCCTAGCACCAATGTCCCTACAGTGGCAGTTCTGCCAAAGGCTGGCAGCAAGATCCCCATCACAGTGTAGATATCCCTAGCCTGGGGATGCTGCCAGCCCCACAGTGCCATCCCCTCCAATGTGCTGTTGCAGCTGGACAAGTCGGTGATCACGGGCATCGCGACGGGGGATGAGAGCCTGCGCAACCGCAGCCTCATCCGCATGTGGTGCGACCCCGCACCTCCCCAGGTAAGGGGCTCATGGCCTTGCTATGGCGCTGGGAGGGGGAGGCTGGCCAGCCAGATTCCCCTAGAAGCACCCCATGGAGGGCGATGGGCTGAGGCTGGTGAGGATGCTATGGACTCACCCACAGAATTGCCCGCTCCCTGCAGACAGCTGCCAGTGCGGTAGGAGTGTCTCCAAACTGCACGGCTTCTGGACACTGCAGCAGTAATGGCATTGGGATCCTCCACAACGTCACCAGGCAAAAGTGTGAGTGGATCTGGAGGGGGTGCTTGTAGGGCTGGGGGTGCTGTGGGTCTGGAAGCCCCGGGCATAGGGCTGAAGGAGAGCCAGGTGATGCTGTGGGGCTGTGCGGGGCTGCTTGGTGGGGACAGGTTTGTGAGCGGGGCTGGGCAGGCCCCAGGCCCTCGCCCAGCCGTGCTGTGGGGCAGGCGAGCACCTCTTCACGGACACGCCGCTGCCGGACCTGGCCGTGGGGCTGGTTCTGCTGGCCGGGTCCCTCGTCGTGCTCTGCACCTGCCTCATCCTCCTGGTCAAAATCCTCAACTCCCTGCTCAAGGGGCAGGTGGCCAAAGCCATCCAGAAGGTCATCAACACTGGTGAGTGGGACAGGGACTGTGGGATGGGACCCTGACAGCCCCAGTCCTCTCTGCTTGACCCCTGTCATCCCCCATCCTAACCCTACCTCTAACCCCCAGTCTTGCATGAACTCCTGGCCCCATTCCTACCTGCTCCCTGCTCTATTTATGCTCATCACATCCTCTTGGTGTCCCCTACACCCCCCTTCCCATCTATCCATCCATCCTGCCCAGCAGACTCCTGCAGCCCCAAGCTTGGCCCTATACCCAGAACCCGATCCCACAGCTCTCTCCCTAGCACCAGGTAGCGGCTCTGGGCCGATCCCAGCTGACATGTCCATGTCTGTGCCCTTGTCTTGTGCCATGGCAGACCTCCCACACCCGTTCAGCTGGCTCACCGGGTACTTCGCCATGGTGGTGGGCGCTGGGATGACCTTCGTGGTCCAGAGCAGCTCCGTCTTCACCTCAGCCATCACACCCCTGATCGGTCAGCCCCAGACACGTGCCGGTCCCTGCTACAATGGCCCATGGTCATTTGGGTGCTCGGACATGAGCCTCAAGGGAGAGGGCTGTGATGCCAAGGAGAGCCTCTCCCGCAGGCCTGGGAGTGATCAGCATTGAGCGTGCCTACCCGCTGACCCTGGGCTCCAACATTGGCACCACCACCACCGCCATCCTGGCCGCGCTGGCCAGCCCTGGGGACAAGTTGGCTAGCTCCTTCCAGGTATGGACTGGGGGCTGTGAGGAGACATCGAGAAAACAATGTGCCCCTATGCCCAGCTTGACACCAGTGCCGTCCCCACAGATTGCCCTCTGCCACTTCTTCTTCAACATCTCTGGCATCCTGCTGTGGTATCCACTGCCCTTCACCCGCCTGCCCATCCGCATGGCCAAGGCACTGGGCGAGCGCACGGCCAAGTACCGCTGGTTTGCCGTGCTGTACCTCATCATCTGCTTCCTCCTGCTGCCCTCCCTCATCTTTGGCATCTCCATGGCGGGTTGGCGGGTGCTGGTAGGGGTGGGCGCTCCTTTCCTCGGCCTCCTCTTCTTTGTGGGGCTGGTGAACATGTTGCAGGCACGCAGCCCCGGCCGGCTGCCCAAGTGGCTGCAGAGCTGGGATTTCCTCCCAGCCTGGATGCACTCGCTGCAGCCACTCGACAGCCTCATCACACGTGCCACGCTCTGCTGCACCGACCGCTGCCGCAGCCCTGAAGGCTGGGATGAGCGTGAGGCTGCTGCCCGTGACAAGGCCAGGCTGGGGCTGGACAACCCTGTGCTCTCCTACCCTGAGGAGATGCCCAGCCCCGTGCTGCGGGTGGGCTCCCCACACCTGGCCCCGCACGGTGCCACCCGCCTTTAGCCATTTCTACTTTCCCCGGTGTCTAATAAAAGCTGTGTCCCAGCTGCACATCTTTAGTCCCTGTCCTGCAAATCCTGACTGCTGTGTCCATGCAGCACTGAGGCACTGCCCCGCAGCCCATGGTGCCCAGCACTGGGGCAGCACCAAGCACAATGCTTGGCACCACAGTGGCACAGCGATGCTGCAGCCAAACCTGTACTGTGCTCTGCAGTTTGCCATTGTCCTGCTGGCAGTATCACTGCATCCCTTATCCCTGGAAAGCTGAGCTGCAGGGATGAGTTCGGTGCCACTCCACTCAGTGTCATGGCAGAATGTAATTGCTGGGGCTCAGCAGAATACTGGCTTGGCACAGCATAGCACCACAGTGCCCCAACACCACGGTGGAAGCTCACCTGCCCCAGTGACCCCGGCAGGAGCCCTTTAAGCATTGGCTACAACCACTTCTCCCACTGCCCACAGATGCTTGGGCTCCTGCCAGCGATAGCGGCCGTCCCTCCCTCCCTGCTTCCCGCCCTCCCTCCTCCCTGGGGCTGGGACGAGTGAGCGGGGTTGCTGCAGAGCCACGGTGCAGCCGCCGCGGGGACGGCACGAAGGCAGCAGCAAGGGAGACAGTGGGTTGGCCCCACTGATAGCGGGTCAGCTCGAGAGGAGCCGCAGCGATCGGGTGATGGAAGGGTCGAGCAGCAAGAAGTGACGGTGAGCAGGGCGTGCACGGGGGGCAGCCCCATGGGGGTTCGGTCATCAGAGGGATCGGTGCAGCATGGAGGCTGCCATCACCCCACCCAATGCCTCCAGTAACAGCAGCCAGGCCGGCAGCCCCCCACACTCGCCGGCGGCCACCGGGCTCATCCTGCTGGCCGTGCTGGCCGTGCTGCTGGCCACGCTGGTGGGCAACGCGCTGGTAGTGGCAGCCGTCTCCACTAGCCGGGCCCTGCGCGCCCCGCAGAACCTCTTCCTGGTGTCCCTGGCTTCAGCGGACATCCTGGTGGCCGTCCTCATCCTGCCCTTCTCATTAGCCAAAGAGGTGATGGGCTACTGGTACTTCGGCAGCTTGTGGTGCAGCCTCTACCTGGCGCTGGATGTGCTGCTGTGCACAGCCTCCATCGGGCACCTCTGTGCCATCAGCCTGGACCGCTACTGGGCCGTCACGCGGGCGGCACGGCTCAACCTGCGGCGCAGCCCCGGCCGCGTGAAAGGGATGATTGGGGCGGTGTGGGCCGCGGCCGCCCTGGTGGCCTTGCCACCCCTCTTCAAGGCCCGGCCGCGGGCACGGCAGTGCGAGCTGATCGACGAGACGTGGTACGTGCTGGCCTCCTGCGTCGCCTCCTTCTTCGCCCCGTGCCTCGTCATGGTCACCGTCTACTGCCGCATCTACCGCCTCACCATGCGTCGGAGTGCCGCTGTGCTCGCCGCCCGCCGCGGCTCGGCCCCGTGCCCTGGGGATGCCAACAGGAGGGCGTCATGGGCTGCAGCACCGACCCGGCGGCACCGGAGCCAGCACCAGAGCGTGTCGCTGTGCCGGCGGCGCTTACTGCGGGTGCGGGAGCGGCGCTTCACCATCGTGCTGGCCGTGGTGATGGGGGCCTTCGTGCTCTGCTGGTTCCCCTTCTTCTTCACCTACAGCCTGGAGGCTGTGTGTGGGGAGGGGTGCCGCGTCTCCAAGCCCCTCTTCAGCTTCTTCTTCTGGATCGGGTACTGCAACAGCAGCCTCAACCCCATCATCTACACTGTCTTCAACAGGGATTTCCGCGCTGCGTTCCGCAGACTCCTGGCTGCCCTGGTCCGGCACGGCTCCTAGGGACCCCCGGGGCGGCCACCCCACTGCGCTGTGACAGAGATGGGGGATGGAGGGCTGTGCTGCTGGGGTCTGAACTCAAGGTACTTCCAGAAACGCAGGGTTTTGCAGGGCGGTGAATAAAAAAAGGCAGAACTGCACGCCCAGGGCTGGTGTCTGCATCCCAGGAGCACTCAGCTCTGCTCCTCTCCCAGGTCACCCCATCTATCCCCACTGTCTCTGGCAGCCATGGGTGACTTCTCAGTGGGTGGCACCTTCATTGAGTACCAGCAACCTGTGCCACCTCACCCTGGCTGGATTTGCTGGAGACCGAGCAAATGCCAGTTCCCCTGCATCCACGTGAGTAACTTCTGGCACAAAGCACAGTGACAAGCCCTGCAGCTGCTGCAGGACCAAAGCCCCAGATAGTAACCTTGTGGCCACTGGACTGAGCTCCTGCGCCGTGCAGCGCCACAGCACAGCCCAGTGCCTTTGCTGGGGCTCTCCGGCCAAGCCCCCCAGCATAATCTATGCCATGCTGCAGGAGTACCACGGATGCCACCTAGCCTGCTTGGGGCTTCAAGAGGAGAGGTTGTTCTGTCCTGAGAGAGTGTAGATGTTTCCACACGGAAACACAGGGCACGAGGGGGCAGGGGGCAACTGTAGGGTGAAGACCGAGGGCAACCATAGCCCCAGTGCTGGGCAGGGCAGGCCAGCCCCACTGCTCCACACAGACACGCAGGGGTCAGAGGAGGCTCGGCTTTTCCAGCTTCACAGCTCAAAATAGAAAATCTCAAAACATTAAACTTTTGCTTGGCTAAAAACAGCCACCGGCGCCTGGGAGCCGGAGCCCAAGGAACGCCGGCCCAGGGCCAGCCCTGGGGTGCAGCGAGGGATGCACGGCCCCAGTCAGGGCACGGCGTGGCCCCGCTCCCCGTGGGGATGCTGTGGGACAGGCCCAGCACTGGCCCTGCCGCGGAAGGAGCTGCCCTATCGGCACCGCCTGCTTCCCTCCCGCAGCCAGCCTTCAGCCTTTGCACAATTAAACAGCACTTTGCATCTAAAAATACCCATGAACGTGATGGGGGCATAGCTGGTTCAGCTGGGGAGCGATGTTTCGTAACCCACTGTGACACCCTGGATGGGTTGCTCTGTCCCCTTCCATTCAGCGTTCACAAAGTCACTTTAAACCCCAGCAGCATCACCCTTATTGCCGCTCAGCTGCTGAGCAGCACTGCTGGAAGGGTGATCCCCTGCGAGCACAGATTATCCCTGCCTCCACGTATTACTTGTGCTTGCCAGAGCTGAATTGCATCCTGTATTTTCAGGCTGTTTCTCACATTTGTCCAGATTAGTTTGAACGGTTGCTCTGTGCTGCAAGAAGCGTGGGTTTGCAGAGCTCTCCTGCAGCCTCAGCTCCTCTGCAGAGCCCAAAGCAGAGCCCCAGCTCCACCAGCAGCAGGATATCTGTGCCTGCCCTGATGCAAAACGCCATTGAGGAAAGAGAGCTGCTACCTACGGGACCCATATGCAAACACACGCATACAGAGCTGTTGCATCTGAGGCTCGGGTTAAGCATATGTCACTTTTAAAAGCAGAAGAGCTTTGAAAGGGGGAAGCTCTGTGTGAGCTGACGCGGGGACTGACACCGGAGCTCCTCGTTATTGCTGTGGAGACATAACCAATGATGCAACATCTGATCCCCAGCAGATGCTGGAGGATGCAGCAGACCACAGCCATTACAAATCGCACAGGCAACAAGCGCTCGCAATAATGCCTTATTATCGGGAGAGATAATGAGAACAGGAACCGGTTCCTTCCTGCTCGCCGGCAGGGCGGCCTGGGCCAGCCCCCAGAGCGCAGGCTGCAGGAAAGCTGCCATACAGTGCTCTGCTGGGGGGAAGCACAGAAACGCGGAGCACCGCGAGCGCTCAGTGACTGCCCCACAGTGACTCGTCGGTGAGCGGAGCGTACAGCAGCCTGCCGTAAGGCAGCCTACATTCACTCAGAGCCCACAGCTAATGGAAGGGCAGCGAGAACAGACCTTTGAGTGAACAGAATGAGCCACCACTATACGCAGCACATCAACGCCAATTACCAGCACCACCATCTGTCCCGAGCCCCACCTCAGCACTGCCCTATAAGCAGCCTCTTGACCCCACCCCTAAGCTACGCTCCTATCATGGCCCAGTCCGCCGCGGAGTGGCAGCTCTACAACCCAATCAGAGGCCGTAGTAGGCGGGACCCTAATGTGGTGGGCGCAGTTACAGCTTGCCCAATCCTTGCCCGGCTCTGCCGTGCACTTCTCTGACTGACACCTGCGCCTCCAATCATCGCCCGCTCCCAGCCCCGGATAGCGCTCCGCCAATGGCCGCCGCATGACGCGCTCTTCTCTCTCTCCGGTCCGCCCCCTCACACCTCCGCCCTCCTCGGGCAGGGGCGCAGCGGAGTGGGCGAGGCTTCCTTGGGGGGATCTGAACCAATGGGAGCGCGGCGCGGGAGGAGCATGGGCAGGCATTGGTGGGTTGGGCCGTGGGGGGCGGGGCGTAGCTGCGGCGGCGGCAGCGGGGGGGCGGCGGCGGCGGCGGGGCTCGAGCGGAGCGGAGGGGAGCGGCGCGGAGCCGCGCGGGAGGTGGCGGCGCCGCCCGGGCCCATGGAGCTGGAGAACATCGTCGCCAACACCGTGCTGCTCAAGGCCCGAGAAGGTGAGCGATTCCTGAGCAGTGGGAGGCGGCCGAGGTGGGGTGGCAGGCCCGGGGCCGGGAGGGCCGCGCTCCGTCCCGGGGCGTGGGGTCGAGGCCTGCCGCCGCGCCGGGACGGCCCAGAGCCGCGGTGGGACGGCCGCACTGCGCCTCTGAGAGAAGCTGCCCTGCAGCCGCGGCTGCTGCCCGTCTCCTGCCCGTATCCCTCCTCCCGGGGGGCAAAGAGGTAAAAAAGTTCACTTCGGGCCGGCACGTCGCGCTGCGACCGCTTGTACCCGCGCAGGGCTGAGCCGCGTGCCCGCGGCCCTCCGTCAGTGCAGCGCGTGGAGCGGGGCGAAGCGCAGCTGATGCTGGAGGGACGTGGAGCTGAGCCGATCCGGGACGCCTCGAGTAGCTGAGAGAGAACCGGGAGCTCCGTCCACGGCTGCCTGGGTCTGGCTCCGCAGGGAGGTTCATTAGATTGCGTGGGGTGGTGGGGAAGCACGGCCCCTCTGCGGCTGTGGAAGGGCCGCGCTGTGCGACTGGCCGGGCCGAGTAGTTTCTGAGCCCGAGGGGCTCACTGAAATCCAGTTAGAGGGCTTTGGAGATTAGATTTGTGGGAGCAAAGAGCATTGAAATTAAATTTCCCTGGGCAGAGGCAGTTCTGAACTGCTTGGAAATCAGGCTTCGTTCAGGCGTGGAGGCTGTCGAGCAGTGAGTGGGAAATCCAACCGTTGCCATTGTGGTTTAGCTGAAGTCAAACCCAGACAAAACCAAAGAGCAGCACTCGCAACTTCAGGACGTGAAACTCCTCTTGACACGGAGCAGCCGGGAGCACAGCCTCTGCAGTGCTGTGGCTGAAGTGGAGTGTGGGGCTGTGTGAGAGGTGTGGCACAGCTGCTGCCCTGCTTTGAGGTGCTCCTCTCTGCTTTGATGGAGAGCACTCGGTGCAATAAGGCCCATGCACACGCCTGTGCTCAGTGTGTGCCATCAGGGTGTGGACAGCAGTGGGCACAACAGGATGGTGATTTCTCTTGGAAGGATCTTTCCCCTCTTGTTCCCTTTGTCTGCTGGCTTGTGGCAGATGGGATGTGACCAGCCTCAGAAATGTGACAAGCTCTGGGTCAGGCCTGCCTCTCTCTTGCCCTGTCCTCTAAATGAAGGTTGCTGTGTGCTGCTGGGACAGAGCTGCATGGGGATGCAGGTCCCCACTGAGCTGTTTGCTGCGTTACCTGCAGGGGAGCACAAGCTGCATCTTCAGTGTGTCATGGGGCATAACTCTGCCTTCTCCTACATGCTTGTGAGAGTGCCTACACTCCTGTGCTCTCACCTACGATTGTCCCTGTCCTTGTTTGTGACTGGGAGTTGTGGCTGACAAGGTGTCGGCGCTGCTGGTTTCTTCCACCCCTGCTTACCCTTGAGTCACTTCCTTCCTGAGTTTGTACAGTCGTGCGGCCCAGCTGCCACGGGGGGCAGATGCAGCACAGCCACCCAGCGGTGCCAAGGCTCACGGCTGCAGCCATCCTGTCGCATCCCAGCCCAGCCCACTTACATGCCTGTAGTGTAGGTGCTGGAAACCCGGAGCGTGGGTACAGGGAACATCTGAGGACCGAATCACATCTGCGGTGGAGGAAAGCATTATGAAACTGTTTCTCAAGAGCTGAAAAATGGTGTTCTTCACGGATTTCAGAGCGCTGTGCCTTTGGCCCGACTCAGCAGTGAGGTTTAACGCATTTCCAGAGTCAGGGGGGAGTTTTTGTGTTTGTTGGCACTGAGCAGGAGGAGCACAATCCCTAGAGGTTGGCTGATCTGAGCAATCAGGCATGCAAGTATTCCAGTACTTAGTGTTTGCTATGATGTAAATTTTTTGGTCTATCTAGAGTTTTCCCACCCTTTTCTACAGCACTGGGCATTTACTCCAGCACCTGAAGATGGAATAATATCTAATTGTTGGATCTTGCTTTTCTGAGGCTGGCTTATCTCTGCAGAACAGTGGGAGTGTCCCCACTTCACAGGTGGGAAACTGAAGTGATGAGCCTGGGGCAATGCAGTGAGTTCTCTGTGGAGCTGGGATTAGAGCAGGAATTCCTGTCTCCCAGCTTCGTGTCCTTTCTCTGAGAGCCCCTCCCTGCAGTAAGCAATCAGTCTGGAATGAGTAGGTGGCATGAATCTTAACTACAGAAAGAAACCGGCAGCGAAGAGCTTCACACCAAGCACAGTTTGGCCTCAAAAGGGCCTGGGAGCCAAGGCACAGAGCAACCTGTGGCTGCAGGCACTCCTCCCTCTGCCGTGATTTTCCCATCTTAAATATGACTGAAATGTCCAGAGGAAAGACCTTACTGT